TTTGTGGGTTCATCATTTGTGGGTTCATCATTTGTGGGTTTATCATTTATGGGTTCATCATTTGTGGGTTCATCATTTGTGGGTTCATCATTTGTTGGTTCATCATTTGTTGGTTCATCATTTGTGGGTTCATCATTTGTGGGTTCATCATTTGTGGGTTTATCATTTATGGGTTCATCATGTGTGGGTTCATCATGTGTGGGTTCATCATGTGTGGGTTCATCATGTGTGGGTTCATCATGTGTTGGTTCATCATTTGTGGGTTCATCATGTGTTGGTTCATCATTTGTGGGTTCATCATTTGTGTGTTCACGATTTGTCTGTTTATCATGTGTGGGTTCATCTTTTGTGTGTTCCTTATTCGGGGGTTGCGGATTTGGAGTTTCCTCAGTTGGCACGTCGCTATTTGTAATTTCATCACGTAGCGGTTCAACAAATGTAATTTCGTCTTGTGGGCGTTCATTAGTTGTGGGTTCACTGTTTTCGGGATCCACATCTGTGGGTTCATCGGTTTCCTCTTCAAGACCTGTAGCTTCATCGTGTGCTTGTTCCTCATCTATTCGTTCCGCTTCTGTTCGTTTCTCGTCTGCGCTCTCTACGTATTTGCTTTCGGCGACTCTGCTTTTCTCCTCTGTCCTTTCCGCGTCTGTCCGTTCCACTTTTACTTGTTCTCCGTTGCTAGTTTGCCCTGACTCATCCGAATACACTCCAGCCGACGGTTCCAAAACGAACTCCGATTCCCTCGCATTACTCCCCTTCCTCCTCTCACGAACGTAATTACAAACAGTTACGAGCCTTAACAAGACGGAATTTTTTCCTCTATTGTTGTAGTAATTGAGGGCGGCCTTAATAACGTAAGAGGGCTCCATCAGATCAACATTGTACAAAGCGGAGATGACTCTATTGAGGGAAGTTTCTTTGATCAGATTCCCCGTGACGTTATTGTAGAAAAAGGTGTTCTTTTCACTCATCGCTAGGCAGTTGAACTTCTTTCGTCTTTTCTTTCCTCCTACATTGCTATACGTGACATTTCTGTCAAGCTTCGACTTATAATTTCTGTATATAAAATAAATTACATTCTTCAAGGTTATTTCCTTTGATCTAAGCACAGATATATTAAAAGATAAGTAAAAATATTTTGATGACCCCAGTCCCACTTTAATTTTCATCATTTCCCTTTTGTGAGAACTTGTAATCTTAGGGGAGTACACAGGTGCCACTTTACTTAGCCTTTTGGAGCAAGCTATTAGTGTACTCCTGTCTATTAAATGTAAACTATTTCGAAGGACAATATCTAGGTGGATCTTGCTCGGTTTGAATGTGCTCCAGGAGAGCAGATCATTTGGGTGGCTGTTCATGTCGAAATAGTTTGGAATAATTTCCCTCAGCACAGTACCCAGAGGTTTGTGCAGATCTATCATCTGGTTTCCACTTACATGTCCATGTGGTAAATCGCTTCTTCCCCTTCTAACATGGAGATGAGTATAGTTGACGCATTTACACTTATTTTTCATCCCCCAAAAGGTGTTATTTAGAAGAACGGCCAAATTTATGTTCATATCTTTGATTACAAATTTGTCTATTTTTAGGACGAAGGAATTTATGAGAGGGACTTTCTGTCCGTGGAGGTCGGGATAATTTGACTTGTCCATTTTTAGTGGGGCCAATTCGATCCCATCCACATCCCGGTACAGTTGTTTTCTCTTCATATAGAGTAAAAAATTGTCCGCAGTTTTGAAGTCAATGTTGCTAAGGCTTTGTTTTATGTACCGTCTCATCAGATTAGTTACCTTGTTGGTGTCTATATCGTACACAGTTTTGTTTACGGCGTAGAAATTTATGAATATGCTCGTGTATTGATTTCCCTCGTGGTAATTATCATAGATGTACTGAGCCAAGAGTAAGTTACTGAATTCACTAAAGTGTTCCCTTTCCATGCATCTCTCCACAACTGTTTCAAAAGTATCATTATTATCTTCGCTGAGTGGGAAATTCTGCAATTCGTATAGTTTAAATTCGTATGATAATCTCTCGTGGAGGCTAAAGTATCCATAAAAAAGCAAAGCTTTTAGAAGAACCATCTTTCGAACGCTGTACCATTTTCCATATATTCTATCGTTCAATATTACTCTACAGTCTGGACTGGAAAAACCTTGTAAAATGGACATTAAATTCTTCACATTATCGTCTTTGTCTACCAAATAGGTTAATTTCGCCTTGTTAAGTAGGTACATGTCAAATAGGTCCGCCCTATAAGCCTCATGTTCAATAGACAGCGTCTTCATGGCAGTCCCCACAACTCTATTTTTAACATAGTAACATGCGTTAATATAATTCTTCCTAATGTGTGCATCTAGAGAGGAGTAATTCACTTTGTGTTCGAAATTTCTACCGAATGGCATTTTGTGAATATTTTCCTTATCACTTTTTTTCCCTTTCCGGAACTTCTTATTCCTTCTGCTGGAACGTCCCCCAAAGTTGTGCTTGGAAATCCTTGAAAAGTAGAATTTCCTCCTTTGGACGGTTCTACCATCACGGCTACTGTCACTGCTACCGTCACTGCTATCATCTCTGCTACCGTCACTGCTACCATCTCTGCTACCGTCACTGCTACCACCGCTTCTACCATCACCATGTTTTCTCCCACGTGTAGACCCCCTTCTACGCTTTACCCCCATCGGAAATTGATAAAAAGAAATACTCTCCTTCTCGTCACTAGATGAAGGTTCCTCCTTGAACATATCAAAGGAGTAGGAGTCCTTTGGCGAGTGCGTGTCGCCTGCCTTTTCTGTGCTCGATGAATGAGTGTAACCAAAAAAACAGGAGTCCAAACCGTTGTGCTGTTCTTCCGTTTTCATTTTGGATGAGTTGTTGCTCAATTCGGATACATTTCTCCCTTCCGCTTTTTTAAAAAGAATATGCAATTTGTCTTCCTCCTCGTAATTAATAAATTGGAATTTGTCGTCAAACCATTTGTAGACACTTTTTTCGGACAGTCTTCTCTCTAGTTCTTGCACGCTAAGTTTCAAGTAGGATCTAAATTTAAATATACTTAGTCGTTTGCGTAAAAATGGATTAATCGATTTGAGCCATAGCAACACCATGGGGTTTCTTTTAATGAGACTGAGGATGTATTTATCCACGGGATAGCGTAACTTCCTTTCGACCTTTTGCAAGATAAATTTTTCTTTTGTAAATATAGTAGCTAAACTCAATCCCAGGGAAAAAGCATCACTTTTTAAATTATACGTGATGGTATTGAAGTAGGATTCTAATTTTTCCGGAGCTGCGTAAATTGCGCTTCCTTTGAAATTTCCATAAGCACCCTCTTCCACAGTGTCGTTAAATGTCCTTAGAAGGACCTTTAAATGCTTATCATCCTGTCCGTTCTCCTGAATCAAAAAGTTATCTGCCTTGATGTTCCCATGGATCAAACCTACAGCGTGCAAATAGAACACTCTAGAGGTTATGTTAAGGAAAAAATCATATTTAACGTTGTAATCGTCTTCCACCATGGTATAATTACTCATGGCAAATTGAACTGCATCCTTTCCGCTTATCATTCTATATTTGAACGCATAGTGATGTACACTTCTGCTCACATCTTTTAAGGCTCTACTGAAAATGGTCCTATTTATGTCATTTTCATTTTTTCTTATGATCCCTGTGGGGATATCCCAATTCATAGTTTCTAACGCGCATTCGGAGAGCAGCGCTAGTAGTTTGTCACTCAGAAAGTTTAAGTGACTCACACTGAACGTATCTGCGCTGTAAAAATATTTAATATTTTTGTAATCCTTGCAAGGACTACTGTACGAATTTAGCAAATAGTGGATGATCAAAAGATACGACTGAAGTTCATTCTCAAAGTTGTCACTAGTTTTGTCATTAAAAAAGAATTTTATGGCCGAAAAATGAGGATAAAAATCCGCACTCATGGTTACCCCCTTTGTATCACTAGACAGAATGGCAAATTCCTTATCACTTGCAAATTTAAACTTATTCAAAACTTTGAAGTAATCTTCCCGTACCATATTGTAATATAACTCTTTGTATAGTGCGGATCTAAGCACGCATAGAATGTTATCCCCATATAGCCAGTCCAGAATGAACATATTTTGTGCCTCCTCTTGAATCACTCCCACAATTTTTCTACTTGGGTATCTTTTTAGTATGTCTCCATACCTTGGAAAATCTTCATGCTGTTCAGAAAGCTTGTCTTTTAAATTTTCATCGACGTTTTCTCCTACATGTATCCTATCAGTGTCGGTGGAATATACGTAGGAATTGCCTGCCAACGTTTTGGTGCCTTCCGGTAAGGAATGAAATCGATCGTGTGAACGAGAAGAATCTTCATTAGACTGGTCACTTGAGTTTCCCTCCAAGGAGGATTGATCAGAATCGTCCCTGTCGTAATGGTCACTGTTGAGAAACTCATTCGATAGGAGTGTCTTATCATGAAATATTTTATCCAGAAATGGGATTAACGAATCGTATTTGTGATCTTCATATAGTTTACTCTTATCTTCCGTTTTTTTGTCAGAAGGGTCCTCAGAAAATTGGTGGGGTACCTTTTCCTCCACTTGAGTCTCCATTTTTTTTTCAAAGAATTTTTCTGCCTTCTTTTCAAAATTCTCTTCCGGTTTTTTTCCAGAATAGTCCTCCTCCCCATTTTTGTCGTACTTTTTTTCATTTGATTCTTCCGTGTTTTGGTCCACATATTCATTCGACTTTCTTTCGGAGTAGTCCTCAGAGTCTTCGCCATATTTTCTTTCAAAGGTCTCTTGGAGGGATGGCGTGGCCGTTTGCGCCGGAAGAGGCTGTTGTGCTGGAGAGGAAGGATCTGATGTAAGGGAATCTTGTTCTGGTGTTGACGTAGATCCCGGAATGGCTTCTTTCCTTGCTTCTACATTTGGGACCCCGTCCACAGACGTGTCCGTGGGCTTTGGATGAACATTTTCGTGGTACATCGTTGGAACGGGGGGTATTGGCTGATCGATGGCTGGCTTTTTAGAGTATTTATTCGATTCCTCCATTGATGGAACTGCTTTTCTGCCTTGGTCTTCCACTGGCGGGAGTTTTTCCTTCGATATATGCTTGTCCTTCATTTTCTGAATGTCCTCGTTGGACTTTTTTTTCCCGGATACCTTCGGGTCATCCGATGTGAAGAAATCAAATATGGAATTCCTATTCGTCTGCTTACCTTGTTTCGAAATCTTTGATTTCTGGCGCTTATCAGAAGTTTTATAAGAACTATCGCTGGAAGACTCATTATCCTCATCCCCGTAAATGATATCTTTTACTTTTTTCATGTATCCAAAGACACTGTCAAGATAGGAGTTACCGGTGTCACTTATGCTTGCCTCATTCTTAGCCCCTTTTCTTGCCTTTGCACTTTTTACGTTAACATTTTTATGTGGCACGTGATTTCCTCTTTTTTCTGTCTTGGCATTCATCTTAGAGTCCATATCGTTAGCACCTTGTCTATTACCAGGAGTGGAAGAAGGGGCATGTGAAGGATCATAAGCACTTTTCTCCTCCCCCCCTTCATTTTCAGGACCTTTACTTTCCATATGGTTCCGATTCTTGTCAGCACCGTATGAGGAATTGCCTTGGTTATTTCCGCCTTCCATCACGTTGTTGCTATCAGATCCTGGCATTTTTCCATAACTCCCCCTTCCAACGTTCTCATTATGTAGAGTTGTGTTTAGCTCAAAAAAGGATAAATTGTTATCGTTACGAATGCTCTTTGTGGGGTCCCCCTGGCTTACTTCCTCATATGACACGTCACTATCCGCCTTTCTCTTCCCACGGTCCAAGTGGGCATAACTACTTTGTACCCTCTCGAAGAAACTATAATATTGAGGGTTGTAAAAATTGATCCCATATAACCCATTATCGAAATTGCCATGCTGTTTGGACAGATAAAGAGAGGGATAAAAGAATCTATGCTTATGACTATCGATGAAATAGGTAGATAACCAGGTGTAAATAAAATCATATTTTATTATGCCCTTATTTTGGAGCTCTAAGTGCACAGAATGATACTTATTTAAGTAGAAGTACTTATCATGTTCGTTTACGAATGAGTTACTGTCCATCATTATTTCTATCTCAAAGTTGTTACTTAACAGGTTAATCTCTTTGGAGTATTTAGCATCGTAGGTGAATATTCCATTGTTGCTCGTCTCAAAAATGATGACTTCGGTAGTTTCTTCCGATTCGATTATGTTGTCTCGTATCAAATTGTACACGATGAATCGGTCTTCCACCTTCTTAACTGCAGTGGGATGGGGTTGAGGGAAAAAAACATTTTGTCTTCTTGAAAGTGGGCTTACAGATTGCATACGATGATGTATATGCTCACAAAATTGCGAATTCGCGGTCGGTCCTCATCGCGCGGTGCGAAAAGTAGAGACAGTTATCAGACGGGGGTGTCATTCAACGGATGGATATAGCCGACATTGTGCACAATACTACATCCTTTTGTTAACCCTAAGTTTATGCAAATTTTGCGCAAAAAGGAGCAACTCATAAGTGCACTCCATAGAGACTTATGGGTCACGTTACCCAAATGGCAGTGCACATTCTCTCCAGAATAAGGAAAGAAATGCTTTAACAAAGTTCGTCTATGCAATGACGATGCGCTATATCTACATAAGGGATAATCCCCCACGCGAAACATTTCGAAGCATCTCAAATATTCCCCGTTTTGAGGCTGCACTTACGGTCTTTCTCAAGGCTGCACACTATCTTATGACTATTTTTGATTCTCCTGTGGGACACATATTTCATTTTATCGAAGGGACTTAAACTGTTCAGAAGATCCTCGTCTAGATTGAAAGCATCCGTAACATCTGAATGGTCGTCCTTTGCATCTACGGTGCTCATAAAATTGGGATCCACAAAACTGTAATTCATGTGCTGGAGGTATTTCCTCTTGGCACTCTTAAATATATCCAAGTTGTAATAAAGATTGTCATGTGTTATGTTAACCCTTTTTTTCAGTGCCTTTCTTAATGCTTCAAACCGCTCCAGTTCCTCTGAGCTAAATGAAATGCTTCCATAGGATGTTTCCATTATGGGATTACACCTTAGGGTTATATTATAATAATTTTTTTGTAAAAGCTTCATGGAGGTATTGAACCATTTTTCTGTTTGGTTAATATCGTGGCTTAGGGAATTTTTTACCAAAGCAAAGGTCGTAACATAGACTACTCTGTCTTTGTAAAATTGGAACTTTGCCTCATATAACTCTTTGAGATTGTTGTCATTATCACCATCATTATCGTAGAAAGATCTGACGTAGATCAATTTCATTTTCCCCTTGACATAGGAAAATCTTTTAATATCATCGATGGAGGTATGTACTATTGGTATTCTTTTATTTTCCACGGCTTCATCTTTCTTCTTCTTGTCATCTTGGTGACTTCCCTTAACCTGTGTTTTTCTAATTATCTCCGCCAGCGCGTTTGAAAAGAAGTTGGTGATGGTTGCATTTAGGTGGCTTATGGTGCTTATTTTGTTGGAACTGCTGCTGATAGGGATGCCGCTGCCAACAGAACCACCGCTACTACTGACGGTAGTGCTGCTCGTGTTATTCCCCGCAGCGTTGGTAACAGGCGCGTTCCAGTTTTCTCCTTCTTGACAACCGCCACCACTGGTCTCTCCCGTGTATTCATCGCCGTTGTTAAAATCCCCATTATGAGAACCCTTTGTTTTTAACGAATATATAAAAAAGGAAAAATCACGGGGTTCCCTTTTTACATATTTATTCAAAACAGAAATTACTACATTAAAGATAAAAACTTTCTTCATAAAAGAAGTAAATTTCATTATTGTTAAGTAAGCGTAATTGACACCAAACCACACCTTCCTACGATCGTGTAACAATTTTTTTTTTTTTCATTTCTAAATATGTGTCACCCTCATTGCGCTAATCATGGGGGCGCGCCAGCGGAAACACAAATGTTGTTAAAAAGTGTCTATACATTTGTACATACACAATTTCCCGAATATTTTCATATTCGCATAAATCTAAGCAAAAAGACTGTATTTTCTGTGGTATGCATACCATTACGATGCAACAAAAAAAATGTCTGCT